CTGATTGTATTAAACCAGGAGAGAAAGATGAAGGAGTCGCTGGAGCCACCTGTTCTGCAGAGAATTGTGATTGCTTTTGCCACATTCACCTCTGTGGCCACATGCCTCTCTGGACACTCTTCTCTACATGTTCTCCTCACTTGTTGCTCTTCCCCCCTCAACAGAATTAGTGAATGAAATAAATCTATAGGAAGTTGATATTGATATAACAGAGCCATTATATTTCTGTTCCTCCTACCCTCCTCAAGTTCTCTCATGTGGAATAAAAATAATTGTTACCCCTTCTCTCCCTCTATTCTATCAGTCCATACTCAGGGGTAGCAATAACTGTCCTTTATAAAGGCCTATCATTCCTCTGTTCCACTCAGTGGTGCTGAAGGCACCATTTCCTGCTACCTATCCAGAGGAGCCTCTGAAAATTCATATAGATATCCCTTTTTCAAATTGCTTAAAATATTAATAGGAAATGCAACTGGCTGTTAACAAGTAACTTTATCTTACATATATGTTAATGGACAAATGGATGGATCTGGATAGATATCATTAGGAAGATTTTCTCATCTTCATTTCTAGAATGCAGGTGACATGTGAGAGGTGTCTCCAAGTGGTCTTTGGGGGGGAAGGGGGAGAAACTACAATATCCATTGGCCTTGTAATTTATTGTTCAAGTCAGGATTTGGGAGTGAAAGGTGGAATTATTAATAAATATGCCTGGACAACAGGCGAAAACTAGAACTATGTCAGGCTACCAGGTATATATTGTCACCTATTATGTGAACAATAAGTACATGGGGATTATAGTACTATGCCCTCAAAAATATGGGGAAAGGGATATCTCTTCCAGAAAAAATTGTGAAATTATAAATTATAATTGTGGAATCTAAAATCTGGATCAGGCCCTGCTGGCATGGCTCAGGGGTTGAGCATTGACCTATGAACCAGGAGGTTATGGCTCAATTCCTTCTCAGGGCTCATGCCCGGGTTGTGGGCTTGATCCCAGAAGGCAGCCTATCAATGATTCTTCAAACACTCTATCCACTGAGCCAAACTGGCCAGGGCAGAGTCCCTTCTTTTTTATGGCTTAGTAGTATTGCATTGTGTGAATGAACCACAGCTTTTTTATGTGCTTATCTACTGATGGGTACTTGGACTGCTTCCAAATCTTGGCTATTATAAATAATACTGCAATGAGAAATCTTATTTACAAAACAGGCAGAGATGGAGGCACAGATTTGGTGCATTAGCTGCTCTTTGCCCAACCCTGATCTAATACTTAGAAACTTGGTTCTGATACAAGGAAAGCTATTTTAGATATTAATTCTGACATTTCTTGATCTGCTGTGACAAGTAGGGGCCGTGGCTACAGGGACCAATGGAAATGTTCAGTGGGCCTTACTATTCAATGTACATTTTTGTTGTGTATGTTCCAGGCATTCAAGGCTTATATTAAGATGGATGACAGAGGGTAAACACCCAAGAACATTCTGTACAGGGAATAGCAGCCATGTTGGTTGCACGGAGCATATTAGAAGAAATGTTTTAGGGATGCAAGACACAGGGAACAGAGGCCACGGTAATTCAGATTTTCTTACAAATGGTATAAAAAATAAGTCCAACAAATGCTAGCAAAACTGAAAGCACCCAAGCTAAATGAAGTCTTGGATCTCTGCCTATACTAGGGAAAAAATGACTCAAAATTATGGAAAATGATATTTAAAAACTCACTTTAAACTAGTGAGGTACTTTCTGTGTAGAATTGCATTCACGCTTTGTTAGTAAAAGGAAAGTTTTAGGAAAAAATGTTCCTTAGGCATTTATTTTAAAATCTTTATAAAGTTATGTTTAAAATATTTCCCTTTAGGCAGAAAGCACACTAACAACTCAGGCAAACTGCAATAAAAACATGAGTAAGAATTAAATAGAGTGCACATTAAGTAGCATGAGATATGACCTATATTAGATCTCATTATGTGACTGTACATAACACAGATATTCATTTACCTTCTGTTACCTACTAACAAGCTGTTTAATTGAAGGCTAAGTTAGGAAATTGTGGAGAGTGGCCACAGTAATGTTACTGGTTCTAATTGCCCTAACAAGGTATTTGGGACATTAGACAATGAAATGGATAATGCCCCAGAAAGAAAGAATTTCAGAGGTTTCAGTACTATCTGAGCTGTTCAGCTAAATGTAAGGCAGAAGCTAATGACATTTATAGTCATCTAGCTATATAATAGAAGAATATACAAATTAGCTGGGATGCCATAACGTCACAATTGAACAGCAGGGACCCAAGGCTGCATGGTACCTGGCAGGGGTGAGGGATCTCAGGCCATGCTCCCATCCTGCAGAGTTTGACAGGGGACCTCAGGCCGTGCCCCCCATCCGAGCACTGGGCTGGGGGACCTGAGGCTGTGCTCCCCCTCTCCCCCACTCCCAGAGGGGTTTGACAGGGGTGGGGCTGGCTGGGGCTGGGTCTCCTGTGTTTTTGAAGCACGTGTGGATGATGGGCGGGGACTTGACTCTGGCAGGAGGGAGATTCTCATATTTTTACTACCCTGTTCCCAGAAAATAAGACAATGTCTTATATTAATTTTTTCTCCCAAAGTTGAGCTAGGTCTTATTATCAGGGGATGTCTTATCTTTCCATGCGCTAGGTCTTATTTTTGGGGAAACATGGTAGTTTTCTTTAATCTCTGACACTTCTATTATAGAGAAAGGGCAAATAGCAATATTAAAATATCTCCTCTAATTAATTCCCTTTTAATGTGCACAAATTTTATGCACTGGGTCACTAGTTTAATATAATCTTTTTGAGGGGATACTTTAGTCTATTTGGTAAGTTAACAATAGATATTGGGAGCTCATTAACTATAAAAAGAAAATCCTTTAAGATCCTGAATTAGATTAGATTGAAATAGATTAAGGATGTGTTTTATACACGGAGGGAGAAAAAAATGGAGACCATTTATAAAGCACAACACAATAAAGGCTAATGAATATTCCTTTTCATGTGTTTCTGGGAGAGTTGGAAGAGTTCTTTAGAGTGGAGTGCTGAGCAGAAAAGAAAGAGGATTTTTAAGGATGAATAGACAACAGTCTCATTCATCGGGTAGAGGGCATGAGCAACAGGTGGGGTGAACCGGGAGTGGAGGGGCAGAGAGTACCTTGGTCCAGGCACTAATTATGCACTTCCTGAAAGAGCTACAGTAGGGAGATGACCAGATGGCACCTGCTTGAACATGATGTGGTATATGGCGAATAACAGTAAAATATTACCTGCATTGAGTTTCTGTTTATATTTTTCTATATTGTTCTGGTTTTTTCCAGCTTAGAAAAGTAAAACAAGCTAATTGTAAAAAAAAAACATATTCTAGGTTACAGAATTTGAAGTCGAAGCAAAATATCCTATAATTCCATTGGCAAATGTGACCACTATTAGCATTTGTTATTAACATTAAGATACATACATAAATAAATATTTTTTTTAATCATTTGGAACCTTGGAATTGTAAAAAGAAGTATTAACAATTTTCCAAATTTGTTTACACTTTATATTACAAATCATGATGTAATATCAAATCTACTATTTTTGTTATTTTCTCTTTCTAACATTCAGTAAGTGATGCCATTGAGAGTTCTGATCTGTATGAGAAAGTGAACCAGACCCCAGGCTCATTCCCATCCTGTGTAATGGAATATATGCCTGGGACCTGCAAACTCATACAAACTAGAGACTATAAACGGGGTAACTTCGATAGGATATAGCCCACTCAGCATCATAGGAGAGGTAGGAGGAACTGTCAGAGCTCCCCACAAGCTGTATTCAATATTGAATTGCTCAGTTCTTTTAAAATGTGGGGTGTGGGTTGGGGAGGTTGTCTCTGGTATAGAAAGAATTACTCCAAGTCTCTATGTCCCCAAAACACTGAGAAAACAGATATTGCACATTGATACAGCAGGTTAACAAGCCAGAAGTAAAAACAAACCCATCTCCTGTTGGCCTTTTGAAGATCTAAGGATCAGAAATAGCCAATTCTAATTTCTCCTAGTAATTTCCAAGGGTCGAGGTAAATCAAATTACCTCTTTAGCTGAACTTGTTTATGCCAAAGGAAAGTAATACTCTGTGGGTACAACCCAGAACTTTGAAATTTATAGATTGGAACTGATATGAGAACCAAACACTGAAAACCTTGGAAAAAACTGTGAACTTTATCCACTTTCTACCCCACCTCCAAGTCCAAAGTGAAGAAGGATATGATAAGAGACAGGAAATTGGAGGGGTGACTGGTCACTGGTTTGGATTGCCAAAGGAATTTGAGATTAAGAGAATTATGAACGAAAGGTGGAGCAAAACTCCAAATGAGGACTGATATATGAAGGGGAAAGGTAGAAATAAATGAACTTTTGAGGCAGTCAAAATGGAGGAAGAGGCAAATGCAGACTAAAAGGACCTCACTGTGGTGAAGGGTTTTTGCTAGAAACTGAAGAATGAACCACAGGGATTTAGATTACCGGTAGACAAAGAAAGAAGACTCAGTGTTGGGTAGATTACAAAGGGAAGCTCTAGAATAGGCTTCCTTATTTTACATATATTTTTATTAAGTTATAGAACTTATTTTATTTAGATAAATTATAAAATTATAGAATTTTGTGTAGTCTAATAGCTGAAGGTAGAGAGAATGTGGTGGATAATGAAAACAAGAGTTTTCTTGTGTAAGAAATATATTTATATTTTTTATATAGCACATACAACCAAATTCCCAATTAGCACATACAATATATATTAAAAACTGACATGATCTCTGTGAGGTATAGAGTCAGAATTACTTCACTAGTGAGGAAATCTAAGACAAAGGATTAAGTTCTACTTGGGAGGGAAGAGATGGAGGAAGGAAGGCAGACCTCAGAGGGTTTTGAAGTTCAGAGGGAAGTTAGATTTTTTTTCTTTCCAAAAAAGAAAACATTTGTTCCTTTCCAGGTACACTTGATTACTCACTGTTTAGTAGGCGGAAGTCAATGAATGGGTAGGAGCCGCGGCGTTCAGCAGGAACCCCCGTCTGACCCCTTAGTCGTACATCTCCTAGAAAACAGAAGGTCCAAACAAACATTTGAAAACATTGCCAAGTGTACTCTACTCACTTTTCCTCTGTAAATCCTCTTACCCACTTATGTCACTGGAACCAACATAAAATATCTGGAGAAACATGATTTCCATTCATCTTGCTTCAGAGAGTGCCATGTATGAAGGGATATTTAATAAATGCTGAGCCTAATGAACTTGTCAAAACTAAGAAAGGAAGCAGCATTCTCTTTTATAATTTGCCTGGAAGATGGGACTGTGAAAACTGTAGTAATTTACAAAGTTTTCAGAGCCTTTTTATCCTTCCAAGGGTCATTAAGATGAAGCATCCTAATTTGGAAGGACAAATGGGGTGCTGGGATTAGAGCTTTTACTCTTATTAGACATTTGGCCACCCAGGGTCATTCCTCTTGGACTTAGTACGACTGTTTGCTGACTGGCGCCCACTTGCCTGGCTCCCCAGGTTGTATCATTGATCTGTTTCAGAATCTGCTCAGAGGAAGGCTGGCCTAGTTCCAGGCACTTCAGATACATCCCCCCTCCTGGACATAGAATAGTCTATAGAGTTTCTACTACTTATTTGTGGGTTTATTTTAATGCCTGTGTTCACTTTCTTTCTCGGAGTGTCCTGCTTTCCAGATGAAGGGAGGGACTGAGGTAGAGAGGAGGGAGCCTGAACTTTAGAATAATGTAGACCTTGGATTAAACGGGCCCTGACCCTCCATTGCCTCACTTCAAGGTGTCATTGGTTGGAGAGTATAAAATAACACTTGCTGCTTGGCAATAAATGCTGCATTTACTTCCTTACACAGTCCTGCAAAGTAGGGATTACTCATACTTCACGTTCTGCATTTCTCCATCGTTCTTTGTGTATTGTCTAGTACTTAGCAGATTCTAAGTGACAAAAATAAACAGAAAGACCAAATTCCCAATTAGTACATACAACATGAAATCAGAAGAGAGGTACAAGTACATAAGACCTAATATATTTTGGAACATCAGAACCAGGAAGGTTTTCTTTCGTGAGTAATGGGTCCTCTCTCATGACCCACTCTTTCCCCAACATGAAGTGATACTGCGGCCTCAGCCTATGAGTGAAGAGAAGGAACAAGTCTTTCTAACTCTTGGGGTTAACTACCCTGTTTCCCCGAAAATAAGACAGTGTTTTATACTAATTTTTTTCTTCCAAAGTTGCACTAGGTCTTATTTTCAGGGGATGTCTTATCTTTCCATGCGCTAGGTCTTATTTTTGGAGAATGTCTTATTTTCGGGGAAACACGGTAGTAACTGGGTGAGATTCTCATCGGCCATAACCCATGCAATTGACAATGTTTAAAATAGCCCTCACAGATGGGCCTTGTGTGTATCTGGGCTTATAAACTGCAAGTTCTGAGGCCTTGGCCTATTCTTTACTTTAAATTCTATATTGGTACCTTATTGAGTGTTAATCTGATACTGTAGTGACATATTGATGTTAAAGAATGTTACACTTTATGGAGTATAGTGAAGAGGGAGAAGGGAAGATGTGGAAAAGAACATTTGAAGTATAAATATAAGATGATATCAAATTAGGGAAGGCTGTCAGCATTTGATAAGTTCATGGGGTAGATAGTCAAGAGAGTTGAAGGGTTTACTTCTCAGCAGTTGTCTTGAGCCCTAAAGGGTTTACAAAGCATATTTACAAACCTCACAGTATATTCTTTTTCTGGTTTAATCTCATTAGACCCTCACATTAGCTTTGTGAAGAGAGTCACTATTATTCTACTTACTTTAGAAATGAGAAAAATAGAGGCTCAGAGAAGAAAGTGAAGGACTGTTACGCTCCTAACCCCTGCTCAAGGCTCAGGTCCCGTAAAGGCGCTCAGTAGATGTCTATTGACTTTAATTGACTGCTTGAGTTTATAGCGCTTTAAACTTATAATTAGTAGAGCTCAGTCCTTAAACCTAAGTTGTTAAAGTTCATAGGCAGAGCGCTCTCTCCTCAATACCATTGGTTTCTAACCTTATAGAGTGGGCACAGCTGGTTTTTAAAATGAAAACAAAAATCACAGACTGCTCATGCTAGAAGCTGTATTTTTCATAGCCAATTAAAATGAAAAGAATAGCATGTTAAAATTATGTAACATCCCAACCGGCATTGACCTATATCCCAGGATGTCATGGTTAGATTCCTGGTCAGGACATATGCTTGGGTTGTAGGCTCCACTCCCAGTGAGGGGCGTGCCGGAGGCAGCTGATCAATGATTCTCTCTCATAATTGATATTTTGTCTCTCTCTCCCTGTCCTTTCTTCTCTAAAATCAATAAAAATAATTCTTAAAAATGATATAACAAAATTCAGCACTGCCTGTAAATGAATTTATATTTTATGAAGGATAGTGAGCTAGACATATACTTGAAACACTGTGCACAGATGAGACCATGTTAATTTGGTTTACAAAGGCTGACTGGCTTATGGATTTGCTGACCTGTTGTGTCATCCTTTTGGGCTTCTCCTAGGCATTTCAGCTCACCGACTAGAAATCATTACTATTATTTTTTTCTAACTATTACCCAAAGAGTTATCCTGGTTTTGCTGCCCTGAGAGCACTATGTTCCCAGAAAACTTCTGTATAATATTAATGCACATTTTAAGGCCTATGCCAGAATTTATTCCATTTGACCATCTGAGGAATAAAACAGAGGACCATTACTATGTAAGACTTTAGAGAAACTGACAGGCGACAGAACCATGAGGCAGAATTGATAAAAAGAGAGTGACATGCTAGAAAGCAGGGAACTCCTGTTACTGAGAGGATCAGCATTTCACCATATTGAGTGACCAAGGGAAAATTAGAACCATTCTGAGGTCCAGTTTTCTAATATTCAAAATTAGAATAATTATAGCAGTTTTGCCTGTTCTAAGGGGTTGTTGTGAAGGGGTTGTTATAGGAATTATAAAGTGCATGAAAATAAGATGATAGTTAACATGTACAAATACTTACACTGTGCTCAGTAATTTACATATGTTTTCTCATATCATTTACCCAATAAACCAATGAGGTAGAAATGATTATTAGACTATTGTGCAGGTGAGGAAACTAAAGACAATGGAAATTTGATGATTTGTCTGAGATCATAGAGCAAATAAGTATGGAGCTTGAACTCAAACTCAGAATTGGCTCCAAACTCCATGTTCTTACCCATTCTTCCAGATTATCAGGAAAAAAAAATATTTAAATATATATATATATATATATATATATATATATATATATATATACACACACACATACACACACACACACAAAACCAATTAAGCATTATCTTTTTTATTACCTAAATGTAGCCTTTGATTACTTTTTGCCAATAAACCAACTATTTATTCATCATGAATCCTGGAAACTGAATCCTAGGGCAATCTACTCCCTTGATGAATATGAAAGTCGATCAGATGGATGTTGTTTATTCGAATAATGGTTCAGGGATATGGGCTATAGAATAAGACAGCCAGATCCTGCTCTGGATTAACAAAGCATCTGTTATTTTCAAATAAGAAATGGGAAGCAATTATTTAGCAAAACTGAAATTACCTGGCAACTAATTTACTCAAGCTCTTAATGAAGTAGAATTTTCATGATGCAACCTCACTTTTGGAAAAAAAGACAAATAACCATGCAGTAACTTGATAGCAAAGATCCCTAAAACAAACAAACAAACAAAACAAATAAACAGCAACAACTATAAAACCCAAACCTGAAAATTTCCTCTCAGTGCTTATACTGTCTATAACTACAATTCTAGTCTTTTTTTTTTTTTTAAATGTATTTTGTTGATTTTTTTACAGAGAGGAAGAGAGAGGGATAGAGAGCTAGAAACATTGATGAGAGAGAACATTGATCAGCTGCCTCCTGCACACCCTCCACTGGGAATGTGCCCGCAACCAAGGTATATGCCCTTGACTGGAATCGAACCCGGGACCTTTCAGTCCGCAGGCTGACGCTCTATCAACTGAGCCAAACCGGTTTTGGCTACATTTCTAGTCTTGAAGAGAATTACTCATAAATCTAATAACAGCCTTTCCATGTAGTAAATAGCTGTTTTAGAAAAGGATTCAATTATCGTAAGAACTAGTAAAGCAGGAGGCAAGACAATTTCAAGTGGGCTAACAATGCATTTTAGACATTCTCCAACACACTAAACATTCCATATCTTGAGCATTTCATTTCATTGAAACTCTAATATGGTAAAATTACGGTTTTAAGCATATAGTTATAAAATAGAAAGATCTTGCTCCTTCCCCTTGCTTTCATGAAACCCTTTGGATACTAAATTGCTTCAATATGCTTGTGGGAAGAGAGAAATAATTCAGTAACAACAGCCCCCAGAGGAGCAGAGGCCACTGGCTGGTGTCCGAAGAACAGAACAAGTGGCGTCCTGCTGGACTGCTTTTACTGGCCTCAGCCTTAGGCAATCATCTATTTACCTAAGGCCTTATATCCAAGCTAAACAATTATTTTGACTATTCATTAGGCCCTTGTTTAACTTAAGCAACTCTCGTTCTGGCAAAGGAAAGGTGCTGTGGAAGCAGGGTAGGAAGCGTTGACAGCTCAGCCGTGTCCTCAGTCTGTTCTCATTGTGTTCCAAAATGAAACAAACAGCAGGGGAATTCTTATTTTGAAAGGGCTGCTCCTCGTTTGCCCCTTCAGGCTGAAAACATAACATGTCGTCCTTGAGTATGTATTTAAGGCTGCAAACACAGGCAGCGAGCTGAGCTCCTGGCTCCAGGAACCAAGACCTGGAGTCAGCCACTCACTCTCCCAGGGGATGTGGTTCCGGGATGGACCTCTTGCCCACTTGGCCCTGCGGGCTGTCTCTGTTTAATAAAAGCTTGTGCTAGGGAGCAGAAGTTATGTGGCCTCTTATGTAACTGGCAACGAGAGTGGAGACTCTGATGGTGATGACAACTTACAGTAGCTGAAACACGGGCCACATGACTAGAACCAGATTCTGGCCCCATTG